AGGCCAAAAGAAGCTGAACACAAGCGAAATAATAACTGAAAAGCATGGGAATCGATTGAAAAAGAACGAAAAATTTGAAATATATAAACTATCACTGACAAACTTTTATGTTTTCTCCTTTTGTTGTGATTTCAGTGGCTAATATATTGTCGTTTCTTCGCCTACTACATGCGACCGTCGCGTTCCAGTTTGTCGGTCCCCTTCAAATCTCCTTCGGCGCCATTTTGAAGGACATGGGTCGATTCGCGTGTCTGCTGGTCTTCGTGCTGACCGCCTTCGGCATGGGTTTCACCCAGCTCTACGCCACCTATAACACGCAGGACGATGACGAATGCCGTATGGATCCCACTTCGGATGAGTGTATGACCCTTTCTTTTGAGACGTAAGCAAGAACTTCAAAGCGAGATTAATTCGTTTTCTTTTCGCGCGAGTATCTAAAATCCTATTCGTCGATTTTGTTTTCTCACTGCACCAGTGCTGGCTAACACTCTCAAAGCTTGTTGGGATATTTTTAAAACTTAAACTATTTATTTATTTGCTTATTTATTTATTTATTTAAAAATATTTATACAGGATGACACCATCTCCAAAGCTGGATAATAGAGATGACATAATCCCACCAGTCTGTGAGACTAACAATAATGTATAAAACGATTACACGACCCAGGAACTGTGGGCTCTCGCGGTTGTTAAACAATTCGACGCGCTTTCTTTTAGTAAACACGGATCTGCCTAGTTCGTTTTAATAAGTTAATTTATTTATTCAAATTGGTTGTTTGTTAATTACACATGTTTATCTTTTCGTTGAACCTTGCCAGGATTTCCAAGTCAGTGGTGGCTCTCTTCTGGGCGCTTTACGGCGAGACGAGCGTCGATACGCTCAGGGTGTCGGACAATCTCTGGTTAACCCAGGGCGTGGGCATTGTCCTGTTCGGTGTCTACATGGTACTCGTGGTCACCATCATGCTAAACGCCTTGATTGCCATGCTCAGTAATACCTACTCACGCGTTGAGGTAAGCGGGACTTAGCGGGTAAGGGCGATTGGTGATCACCGCAAAGACTTCCCCAACTCGCTCTCTCTCTCTCTCTCTCTCTCTCTCTCTCTCTCTCTCTCTCTCTATGTATGTCTGTCTGTCTTTGTCTCTCTATCTGTCTCTCTGTCACTCTCCACTCTCGACCTAGCTAGGTATAGTTATTACTTGGTGGGATTGAATCCTTTAAATACATTGGGCATGGTTAGTTGCTGGAACCAGGGCTGGAACCAAAGGTGGTGTAACATAGCTCCAAAGCACATTGGAATTGGCACATAGAGACGTAACATGCCCAATGTGTTACAATATTGTTACAGAGGTTTTTCATCATGATTAATGTTGATGTTTTATCTCTTTGCTTGTCTAGGAGAATGCGCGTAAGGAGTGGCACTTTGCCCGGACACGGATGATGCTAGAGTACGATCAGATGACGGGATTCCTGCCCCCACCCTTCAATATCATCCCTAGGGTGGGGTGGTGGGTTCAGAAAGCATACAATGGACTCAGAAGAATTACAGTGGCGATATGGAGATGCAAGAACAGTGATATTGTATGTTTAGTAATGTGCAAGTTGTAGAACGGGGGAACGGAGGGGGGGGGGGGGGGGGGGATTTTGGGGCTCTTCTCCCGCCCTCCGTTAGAATTAATGTTTACAATATTTTTGTGCAAATGCAAAGAAGCAAAATTCTATTGATTATAATTCAAACAAATCAAATCATTCTCATTTTGTTTTTTAAATTAGCGGAAATGAAGAAGAAAACAAAATCAAACTAATGTCTAAACTACATAGAGGGGAGGAGGGGGGGGGGTGCAATTCAGAGTTCTTATATTCCTATCCTCAACCTTCAACATAATGTTAGATAACGATTTCAGTGTTATGGAAGTTTGCATCTTTAGAAGATCCTCTCTCTCTTTCTCTTTCTCACCCTTTCTCTTTCTCTTTCTCTTTTGTTTCTCTTTCATGACAGATTTTATTGAAGATGGAGAAGAGAGGTGAAAGACATGTGAGGAGCAATGCGCCTAGAACTCTGAAGGGACACAAATGGAGAAAGGTGAGCAGATGATTACTATTATAGTTTGATTAACTCTCCTCTGATCTCTCTCTCTCTTCCCTCTCTTTTACTCTCCCCATATGTCAATCTCTCCTCCCCTCTCCCTTTCTCTCTCATTTTCTTAACCCCCCCCCCCCTTTTTGTCTCTCTCTCTCTCTCTCATACTCTCTCTCTGTCTATCTAACTATGCGTTTAAGTTTACACGAATAGCATTTTTTCCGCATTTTGCTCCGAATAGGCGTTTCTTAGTATATACACCAATAAACCATAAATATCAACGACACAATAAACTGTTTGCAGTTTATCTCAAATTTATAACGAGTTTTTTCAAAATCACCAATCAACACCTCAATATGCTGTTCTCTGTAAAACATAATGATCGAATAGATTCATGAATTCGAAAACAGTAAATAATATTGACAGCAATGCGCTTTTAATTTATCGAATTATTTTTAATTAACGATACCAAAAAAAAAACAATAGAGAGGAAATCTAAAAGAGTAGGACATCGACGAAAAAGAGGGAAGATGAAAGAAATTCGAAATTTTGAAAGACAATTACATGTACAAAGAAACAAACCCCAAAAGAGGTTGAAAAGGGAAAAAGGGCAAGAAGACAAAAATATGAAAAAGAGGAGGCCCAGGTAGGAGATAGAAAAGAAAAGGATGTAGAAGAAGAAGAAGAAGAAGAAGAAGAAGAAGAAGAAGAAGAAGAAGAAGAAGAAAAAGAAGAAGAAGAAGAAGAAGAAGAAGAAGAGGAAGAGGAAGAGGAAGAGGAAGAGGAAGAAGAAGAAGTAGGAAAGAAGTATGAGAAGAAGATGAGAGTATGAGATGAGGGTAACTTTCTTCTAATGTCAATCTTTATTGTTTCACATACCTCTGGGTCTATATTTTCAATAACCGACCGTTGTGTTTCATGTTTCTTTCAGAAAAGCGGAGGCAAGATTTTGGCAAATCGTCTGTTGCAGTGTATGCATTCAAATCCCGAACGCAGCCAGCAACTGAACTTCTACTGACAGAATTAAATTACCTCAGTTACCTTTATAGAAAAGTATCATACTCGAACCAGGTGAGGTAAATGGGTACCTGGCAGGAATTAATTCCTTGAAATGCTAGAGCGCTGTAATGGCGGCTAGGCTAAAGGTGGGGGTAATGATACATGCTACTATACTAAATACCCCCCTCTGTATAGTAAGCACACGGTATATTTGTATCAATCAAGTATGTTTTCATGGACTATAAACAACGAATTAAGTTTTTATGTAAATAGCATTATTTTTATTGAGAGTGAAAATAAATATCAACATGAAGACACAAAATTAAATAATGCCTCCGGCACCACTTTCAGTGGGCGGAGGCATACAAATGGCAAATTTACATAAAGCATTACATTTTGACGAAAATCACTTCTATAACTAACAGAACGTATATTAATTCATTGCAAAAGTTATCAAAACTGTCAGCCTTTGACATGAGTTGTTTGGAATTTATTTTGCACGGAACACCTGAAAACATTGCAGCCTATTAAATACATCGGTCACATTGCCCGATCGAACCTAAAACGACCGATAACAAACAAAACATTGGTTATACAAGATGATATATCTGTTGTTTGGTCCATTGTATAGTAGACAATATTATATCTACCGTTATGTTTATATTAGTAAGATATAGACTGATCTGGGCCCCGTCTTACAAAGAGTTGATATCAATCGTAACTTATTTGCGATTGATATCAATCGTAACTATGTACATAAGAGATAGGAGACTGCAAACTTGCGATTGATTGGAGGACTTACGATTGATTTGGATCGATCGTAACTCTTTGTAAGACGGGGCCCTGATGTGTGTTTCTTAATTGGGTTACTACAATTTAAGCAACACAGATATTTGGTCTTGACACATTGTAACGAACGTTTTAAAAAAATAAAACCAGAACAAGAAAGAAATTCACTTTGGATGCTGCTCTGTTATGCCTTTCTGGCTCTTGGCCGATCATACAATTTGGTCCAATAAAAAGAAGAGCAAAAGTTGTTAATTTCTAGGGATCTCACAATTTCCTCAAACTCAGTGAGAAGTTCTATCTGTTAGGGGATGACATCCTACACCTTTTAGTTGTTAAATAGGAGCTGCAATTGGATTATAATGTCTCCTTTTGTATAATTATACAAAGAGCAATTAAATGCCACAGTCACTATAACGAGGATTAAGTGACTATAGATATGTATAGGAATGTTTGCAAGGGGGACTTGAGTTTTCTGTTTAAAAACAAATTGAAGTCATTCCCCCCTCTTTTTTATCACCATTATAATAATAATATTCAGTTCTTGTATAGCGCATAATATATTAACAATGCGTTTCCAAAGAGTTTTGGAAATTATTACCCTAGCTTTAGCCAAATTAATGGATATTTTCATTAAGAAATTAATCACATGTGCTTTGTGCATAATATTCCATAAAATCATGTTTTCTTCGTTATTGATGACGGAATATATATTTGTTCCTTGCAGGGGGAGTATAGAAACATATTTGCAATTATTATATTTAGGGTGCATGTATGGTTGAAATTTTTCTTGAGGGAAAATGAAAATTTTAGATTTTTTTAGTACTGAGCAAATGGAAGTTGAGCTCGCATGATACGTCAAAGAGTTGCCAATGTGTGTTTGATTGATCACAACTTCAAAAATCCTAACTTCCTAAACTTTCACTGACTTGTTTCTCTCATTTTTCTACTCCTATTAAAACTAACTTAATTTCAGGGTGGACTTCCCCTTTAATGCCGAGGAGTGGAAACCAACTTTATTTTAGGACTCATTATGAGGGATTGCGTCCTTTGGGGTCGAATCCACTCCAAGTGATTGTGTTATCCACTCCAAACTGGTGATTTAATTAACTCTTTTGAGAGTGACTTTGACTATATAGTTTGATAGTAGACTGCCACCTCAAATGAAGCGATCCCTAATAGAAATGACTCCCCAAAAGTCGGTTTCATCTCCTGTAATTTAGAGAGTTCTACTTATATCGACACAAACGCCAATCATTTCTCGAAATTTGTGAACATTACAATGATGTAGTAAACATTATCATCATCATCATCATCATCATCGATCTTCATCACGATCTTCATCCTCCTCCTCATCTTGCATTGTTAATATCACCATCATTAAAATTTGTATTTTTAATTACCCATCTGTTCTGCTGAATAAATGTGTTAATCTATTTCATGAGGTTTGTCTGGGGCTGTCGTATAATCATTTCTTACAATGACAATCCTTCTTCCGCAAATAATTTTGTAATGTTTGATGAAATTTAGTATTTGTGACAGTTCATCATTTCGGTTTGAAAATGACAATTGTTATATATATTTGCTCATTTATGATTCATTGTCAAAAACATACTTATTGTACTTTATATTATTATTCTTATATAAAAACACTGTGTACTTATATGAATGCAGAACAAAATCAAATCAAATCAAATAGTCCAAACATGATTCTATGGGATACAATATACTATTGCAAGTGCCCTTGAGTGTTGTTAATACATTTTATTAAAGTAGTTGTGATCCTTTAAATATGGGCCTTGTTTCATAAAAATTGTCACCAATAACAAGTTATGACTACTGTTATAAGCATCTAATTGGATGAGAGAAAATTTGTCATCAAAATTTAGCATTTGTTATTGATAACAAGTTTTATGAAACAGGGTCCTGAATTGCAATATTTGCTGTGTGCTATCTCCACGTGATTTCAGTAAATGTTTCTAAGATGGCCCACTGTTGGGTCGATAATGAGTTGCATTCTTCAAGTATTACAAATGATTTCATCACTTCTTTGTCCAATTTCTTCTTCAGTCCCATACATAGGCCTGTGAGTTGGTGCTGCATTGTTCCAATCTGAAGCGAAAATTGAAAATGGATACAAGAATAACAAAATCATTTCGTCTTTTCCTTGTTGATAGTGCTAAAAATAATTATGTTAAACATCTTTTATTTAATCGTTACTCTGGAACAGTATTAAATCATTTTTATTAATATTTATAATGTATTATCAACTGTTTCTAATAAATTGTCACTGATTTATGTCTTTGTCAATGTCTGAATCAAGTTTCATTATTTATTTCTTACAATTGCAATTACCAATGGATTTATGATAATATTGAATATTCAATTTTTCCAATTCAATTTTCAACTGGAACTCCCAGAGAGTTCCTCAGGATTGCTGTCCTCTCATAAATACATACAAAATAAGTCACTGGACTCGGGATCAGAATTTATTTATTTATATAAGTAACGTTTTTATTATTATTATTATTATAAAAAAGACGTGATTTATTGTTGTATTATTTGTCTCTTTGTAAAACAAAATATTGATGTAAAAGGTAAAAGAAGTTTCATATCAAAATACTACTACATTAATTAAATGATCTATAGCCAATTTGAACAACCAATCCATTTAGCATATGCAACAGAATATCTCCGTCTTCGATAAATTATCACTCTCTTGAACTCGTATCATCTATCCCACCTGTTCGTTATACTGCCATTGTTGATTTGTGAGTAGTCTGTTGTAGTGCACGTCTTGGCACTCAAGGAGCATTACATGATTGTCGCCCTCTACTGCTGTGATACAGAAACGGTCATGCCGAAGTTGACTCAAATCGTTCCAAGAAAAAGTCTGATGAAATTAAAGTTGAAGAATAAAATAGCAGTTTTACAGAAAGAAAGTATGATCGGTCATGATTAAAATGGAAAATAGATAACTTGACCAGACAACAGGAATGTAATAACAAAGAGATCAGTTAGGACAGTTTTATAATAACGATCACAACAAATAATAGGAGGGAACAGAACTACTAAAAACCTAATGATAAACGATAATTGGCCTTTGATAGGGTTTTAGACAAATACATTTTATTAACCATTTTACAATACTTACTTTATCAGGCGAATCTGCTGTTGCTTGTCTAAACCATCCTAAATATTTCATAATTGATTTTGTAAAACATTTTGCTAAAAAGATACATTTACTTATTCCACTGACAGGCTGAACTACTCGGTTATACTAACGTTTTGTGTGTGTGTGGTGTTTAATTGTTTTCCGTTTTTTTGTTATGCTTTACACTTTTTTAACTTTCAAAAAAGAAAGAAAGTGATTTCTGAGACTTTAGGGATACCTTACCTGCGCAAGAGCACCTTCCCGGCATGCATTGACAGCAAGGTGCGCCCCCATCCGTCTCCCATCGGTAGCATGGAGCACGTCGATGCATAGATTTACTCCCTCATTCATAAACTGTCAACAAAATAACCCAAAAACAATTTGATAAAATACATTGGCAAAGAAAATAAGAATGAAAGAAAAAAAGAGTTGAAAAATACGGATGAGAAGATGAAGACGAGTAAGAGGAGGAAAAGAAAAGGGAAATGAAAATTGATTATATATGGAATACTTTTTTAATAAATAAAAGATATTTGTATTTTTACCGCATAGATTGAAACTTAATTATAGGCACTGGTCTCGAATTTTCTCCGTGGAGCGTTCATGATGCCAAGATTATTAATGATATCTAAACTTGTCATTACAAAAACACCCTGCTGATGCTTTCTCATTCATAATTTTAATTTAATTTGTTTGTGATGATGATGATGATGATGATGATGATGATGATGATGATGGTGATGGTGATGGTGATGATGGTGCCATGATGAGGATGTTGACATGTGGTAATCATCACCATCATCATTATCATCATCACCATCTTCCCATCATCATCACCATCATCATCACCGGTACCATCATCATCATCATCATCATCAATAGCCTTTTCCTTCTCATTTTTAGACTAAAAGAATCTGTCCTTACCCTTCCAAGTGCCTGGAAGTTGAGTGGCAGGATATTCTCTGGATACACGTTCTCCAAATACCACTCAAAATTTTTGCACTTCAGCTCATCCCTTATCCGTATCCTTGACGAAATGTCCCCGGCATCCACGGCCTGGTACTCTGGCGTCAGCCCGTAGAATAAGTGTTTAATCTGCCCACCCCACACTTCGAGAACTCTTTTGTTGTTGCGTAGGAGCACAGTCTCTGGGTTGCCAGGAAAGTCGTAAGGAGGCTTGGATCTGAATACGTGACCCACTCTGGAGCACGGAACTACTTCCAGGCTTCCGCCACATTGCCACACCTAGAGTAAAACAATATTGAATAAAAATGAAGGAAATTGTAATTACATCTTTCAAATGTATATAAGATCATTTTAACAATCTTGAAAATATAAAGAGCGCATAGTATATTTTGCAAGAGAGAAATGTGCCTCGTGTGCCTTACCCCATTGAATGGCAAATGAACCCCCTCAACCTCCTATATTCTCCCACTAATCTGTGGCCTTGTGACTTTTTATTTGATATATCTATCAGGACTGGTACAACCCCCCCCCCCCCCCCCTCCATGATACCACCGTCTCTTCGACCACTGGTCCAGACTCGATCTTGCTATGCCACTGTAACTTAAATATTGATACAAACAATGTTGGACAATTTAATTTGAAGGACTAAACAGAATTTGGCTTTATGTATAGCGATCAACGTGAAATGAACGATTACCTCTATACATGTTCACTTAATACATTTATTTTTAATCCTCAAAATCACCCTCAACCCTACACCAGGCACTGAGGATTAATAAGACGGTGTTCGACGATTTGAATTGTTGGACTGAACTGAACCTCGGCTTGAAATACATCATCTCGGACCTACCATCAGAACATTTTCACCAAATACCTTCACTGTAAATCATTCCACATCACTGCATTAATACTTGACCTCAACCCTACATCACAAGATATTACTCATGACGATTGAGTCATGATAAAAGTAGGATAGTCCTTGCTTCCCGAGTGGGACATTCTGAAAGAAATGTGTTTAATAGCGGCTACTGAGGAACGGGGCACATGCCCCCTTATCAAATTATGAAGAGAACAAAAACGATTAGGAATGAGAACAAGAAAGGGAGATGGGGAAATATGAGGCACCCTGCCGCACCCTCCCCATAAATGGTGGCCTGTTTATTAAACTCGCATCCCCTTTATCACGTTATAAATTGTCCCCCCCCCCCCCCCATGGTAGAACGCATGTTACGCCACTGATAATGTTACAAAGGGTCACCAACCGAGTTGATATTACTTTAATTTCCACCAATCACAGGAAATTTGCTCGATTAAATACTTCCGCAGGAAACTAGGAATGGCAATACTCCATTAATAAACCTGTCTCAGCGATGTCCCAAAAGGATTATTCGATAGAATGGAAATTGGTCATGAATACATTCTTCATGACCCTTATTAAATGACTTGTTTACGACACACTGAATAGGATATAGCGGTAAGTATGGTTTAAAACCTAAAGCTTTTAAAACCAATGTCAAAATAGATATAAAAGGTTATTGCATCAATGGTTGCATCATCTAACATTGGATATCAATAACATTCAGTAATTGTATCGATTTTTTTGTTAATTTTTAGACTTTACCTGTAAATGTTGTGAAAGCATTACAATAAAAAAAAGTTATTGCATCAGTGGTTGCATCATCTAACATTGGATATCAATAACATTCAGTAATTGTATCGAGTTTTTTGTTAATTTTTAGACTTTACCTGCAAATGTTGTGAAAGCATTACAATAAAAAAAAAATGTCAAAGTGTGTCTCCATGGACTACGCACGCCCCATTTCTCCTTTGCTATTTACAATTTGCAAAAGTAGCCCCTTTGATTAATCTATCTTCAACTTTTGGCCCCACCCCCCCCCCTTACCCCTCTTTTGTATTAATCGATTAATCATAGTACTATATTAACTCACATGAGCCTTACATACAATAAAGACAGATGATTCAGCTCCTCCCATCCCCCAGTTGGACTATTCTTTTGAATTTCAAACACATAGTGACACTAGTGGTCCCTCCTCTTCCCAATCAAATGAGGGACCAGGGGGGTGTTTCACAAAGATTCTAAGTAGAACTTAACTCTAAGTTGGACTTAAAAATTATGGACAGCCATTAGCATCTTTGAAAATATTTGGTAAAAATATTTTTGAAAGGCATAAAATGTTTATTCAAATCATTCATATTTTCTATCATCAAGTAGATTTCATATTCTTGTTGTGGAATTTATAAAATGTCTAAAATACTTGAATTTCTGCTTTTGAGTATATTTCATTTTAAGGCTCCAATGGCTGTCCATAATTTTTAAGTCAAACTTAGTGTTAAGTTCTACTTAGGATCTTTGTGAAACACCCCCCAGTACTTCGCAACTGACCTACAGATTCACTACAAATCATTTCCTCTGATTTCCGTCGCGTTTTTGCAGGTCCTTCTCCTTTTCTTAAAACACAGCGAGAGAAAAAAAATCATCAACAACAACAAAACATCCATCTATTACTTGACAGGATAAACAAGTATATTGAATCATTCACCTTAAAAGAGAGCTCCAGATTTTCGCTGCCCCAGACATGCAGTTCTGGATCGTAATATCCCAAGCTCTTGAAGAACTTTCGATCTATGGCGAAAAGACCCCCTGCGATAGTCGGTGTTCTGTTGACGTAAAAAAGAGGGTTGGTGTCATTAGATAAAAACATAGTTATACCGTTAACCATGAAGCAATATTACGTTATAAATGTGATTGATTCAACTGTTAAGCAGATACAAGATTAATTCACCGGTTGTGCGAAGGCCTCACCCCGCCCTTGCTAACTCCAAACTCCAAACTGCAATGATAGTGGATCGGTAGGTGGGGGGAGGGGGTATCCGCCTCGTCAACAAAGAACTTTAAAATTATTTTAGAGAGGAAGACAACGAATATGATAAAATTAATAAGAGAAATATGATATGATATGATATAAGAATATAAGAATAAATAAACCATTAACAGATATACACACGGGGTATAAAGAGAAATTATGCAAAATGACCATATCACATAAGAATAAATAAACAGCAAATTGTCATCGTTCATTTTTTATTTCCAAACGAAACCATGTTGTAGGAAAGTAATCGAACCATGAAGAATATCCGTTACTTGCAGACATGCGCACCTGCTCCCTTTCCGGTATGTTTATTATCAATTCATACCTGCGTGAAACATTCAGTCGCTTATCATATAAAAGTACCAGATGTTTGCTTGTTGAGTTGTATTTCATAAGCCAAACATAATTTTCCCCAGAAGAGAGGTACCACGTGATGAATGAATCAGAGGTATGGATTGACATGCACATGGGCAGGCAGGGCAGCGATCTGGGGAGGATTGGGGGGGGGGGGGGGGGGGACGTCGGGATACTTCGCCGCCAGGAACTTTTCAAACTTTTGTGGACCTACACCTGTACATGCATCTAATGTTTCATCACCTTATACCCTTTGAAAAGCTTAAAATTCAATTGTTAACATCCCAAAGTGAAATACTCTTTATTCGATGTCTTTTTGATACACATGTGTGTGTTTTATATATATATACATATACTCGCAGACTAATTACAGATGCATATATAATATTTTGAAGTGTTGAATCATAACATTTAAAGGAGAGGTAAAGAAACTCTGTCTAAACTAATATTATTGTACCCTGCAATGAAAGTGCAAAAAAACAGCTAATGAAATGAAAACACATTCCATCAAAAACATATCATTTAACGAATGAATCGAATAGAGACATTAGGCAGCAAAGGAAGTAAACACCTAGTTGTCATGGCAACAAATTGCGGTTTATTGGATATCCGGCAGGAGGATTCCGATAAACACTTCAATTAAAGAAAAAGTAAGTTTGGGAGCTGTTAAAGTGGAACCAGGCTTCAAAGTGATCGCAAGCAGACAGCCCTTCCTTTTCAGAAACAGAAATTAAAAGAAAGTTTAAAATGTAAATCGATGATTAGCCTGATTCCATCCATCTGCTTTACCCGATACATCACGTTTCAATTGTAATCTTTAACCTGCATGTCTTTATAAATTACTCCTATGTGTTTCATATAAACGTGGTCGTAAAGATAATATTCGGCTCCTACGTTGGATTCAATTGTAAAAGAAAATCCTAGAGAAGAAAGATAAATGATTTGTATTAAGGCAAAATTAGAGTTAATTTCCATGTAGATTACAATGATTGTATTCCTAGATAAATCATCCAAAGTTGAGGATTAACTACAAAGGAATTTTATAGGATCGTCGCCAACCATACCATTTTTGCTTCAAATCCTTTCAAATAAAGCTTTTCAACATTTATTTTCAAAATTTTCAATAGTTCTGGGCCCCGTCTTATAACGGGTTGCGATTGATCCAAATCAATCGCAAGTCCTCCAATCAATCCCAAGTTTGCAGTCCCCTATCTCTTATGTACATGGTTGCAATTGAAATCAATCGCAAATAAGTTGCGATCAATATCAACTCTTTGTAAGACGGGGCCCTGTAGTGACATGTACCTTTAAAAAAAAAACTTCATTTCTGTGAGATATCAATCAATACATCTCCTGGAGTAGAGATCCATAAATGACTCATGTTAGCTGCTTTTAAATCTTCTAACGTTGCTTAGTAATCCTACTTTTTTGCCTGAATCATACTTGTCTTAATCCTACGTTTTCAAGAAGACATTGCTATTTTCTTTCGCAAAGATGTACTGCAGCTATATTTCGCGTGGAATGACGATTTTACTTTGAATTCTGACTTGTGCACTGACAGATACAATGTCTGGAAACCGATAAACCAGATCAAGATCAATATCCACCCATTATTCCTCTTTTGAATATAATAGTAGTAATTAGGTTTTGTAAAAGGTTGTCACGCCTTCACCATGTTCATTCCCTCGTGCCCCGCTTATAACGACAATCCTTCTTTGTGATTACTTTTACTACTTAAAAGTAATTACTCTACTTTGATCACGTATATCAGTTATATAATTTGTTTATTTAGTTGTTATCATTCGAAACGTGATTCTCGAAAAAGACCATGAAGAGAAATAAATTGCTCAATCAAATCAATCAGATATGAAAAGAACTAACAGCGATGAAATCACGTTCTTCAATACTAATCATTCGGTAACATTAAGGTGTCGTTAACAGAGGCATACTATCTCTAATAATGATGTGTACATAGAGCTACAAATTGTGATTCTATGTTTGCTCGTCCCAATGTGGTTCCAATAATCAAGGATGTGAACTTACTATGGATCAGTCAAACTATGTATCAAGGATCAATTAAAATAACAACCAACCAACCAACCAACCAACCAACCAACCAACCAACCAACCAACTAACCACCTTACCAACCAACCAAACAAACAAACAAAAAAACGAGCACAGTAAATTGAACAATGCCTTTGCCTATCTTAATCAAATAATTCTTTTGAAATACTTAACTAAGAGTTGAATGACTTTAAATTGTCATTGGCAATTGGCATATTGTCAAAGAGATATTAAGAAAACTGTTGATTCCACGACATGATGGATATTATATTCAGTCCGCTTTAATGCTTACATACTGAAGCTTTTATTAGCGACCAACATTCAAATTGATAGGGCACGAATGCTAGAGAAATTTCACATGCATCCTCATCTGGCTGTCAGACATGTTAGACATGTTGTTTTTAAAACTTGATTGTCGTCTGTCTTCAAAACGTGTCCAGGGCGTCGCCAGGGGGAGGGGTAAGACTGCGCCACCGGACCCCGATTTAAAAGGAAAAATTAAAAATTTTGTCGGAAAAACTGGAGAAATACCCTAATTAACAATTTTTCGTACCTCTGTCGGTGAAATTGAAAAGAAATATTAAGATCGCTTTCCTTTTACCCTTGATGTAAAGTTAGAAAATCTGAGAACCTTTTTCTAAAAAGCTTGTTGTCTAATGTTTGGCTATCTTAGGTTCAAATTTGGTCCTAGAAATCTACAATCTTGATTTAAAGTGGCGTAGCGATGGCCCTACTTCAATCTCAAGAGCTTGCAGAGAAGCGAGAAAAATGTCTTATCTTGTCAGGCTTCACAAGACTAAGAGTTGTATTGAAAGAAATCTGAAGTCTTTTTTGTTTTACTTGCGGGATAATTTTTGGCGCTCTTGTCGGCAAATTCTTGTCCTGCACCCCCCCCCCCCCCACCCCATTAGAAAATGGCCTATTGACGCCCCTGACTCGAAGGAGGAGGAGGATATACAATGTCACATCGTGTCAGGCCTCACAAGAGGCTGGGAATCCAGTCGAATGTTTTTCTCAGATTAAGCCAAATGTTTAGCAGATGTTATGTCGGATTTATACATCTCGGGGCTGATCAAATGTGTGTTGCACGTGGCTATGTTAGCTCGCATTTCTCCGGCGCTGTCAAAATATGTTTTGATCCTGGCGATGTGGAGATAGGCTTGGCTCCCCTTTTTGGTGATGATGATCTGTCTTCATCTTTCCTGTTTCTGCAGGTGCCAACATGATACCCAGGGGCGTCAATAGAGGGTGTGGGTTGTGACCCCCCCCCCCACACACACACACACACACACACACTCACCAACACCCATTCTCCATCCTTGTGGATCGAAACAAATGATATCGTAATATTAGTTAGTTTATTTCATCTCTGTTATCATTCTTAATTTTATTATTACTTATTATTCATCCATTATTATTTATTGGGATGGGGTCGGGAGCGGTAGTTGGGCAAATTTGGCAAATCTGTTGAAAATTTCGTTCCGACATCCCTATCCCATCGCTGCCGATTAAACATGGTCAGGCGAAGCCTCCAATAATGCTATTTTTTCCTGTTAGGAATCTTGAAAACACAATTCGTTTTCCCTTTTTACCCCCTCCTCCCTAATCTTAACTCGCCGAGCCCTCCACCCTGTTTGGGTTTGTTTTATAAATAAAGTCTACCAGTTATCATGGACCTACAGTTTACGATAACAAGTTGGAGACGCATCCGACATTGCCCTCGGGAAAACAGTATGATATATTACATTCTTATAAACAAACACGTAATAAATCTGTCTTAACGATCTGATTGTTTGAAAGAACACCAAAGAATACGTTATAATTTGTTAACAAAAATGTAAATAATAAACACAGACGTTTTATGATTTCCTTTATCAGTAACATGCCGTGCCCAACCCTAGTACAAACTTCGGGGTAATTTTTACATTCGTGGGAGACACGGTACCTCATTTTTTGTCCTTGTATGCCTAATTAAAAAAAAAAATCGTCTATGTCATCCCAGAAATTAGCATTTAAGTTTGAACTAATGACCTCTTTTATCGCCATGTCTCTAAACCAAATTGGCAAACAAAACGCGCAGAACAGTCCATCAATTATTGCTTAACGAAAATTATTGCGTCATATACTGTGTAGTATTATCTATTTGACGTCCATCTCGGCAAGGATATCTTTGATTGAGTAGAGCAATCATAGTGTAATAGATTAAACCACCCGATGTCCCTCGAAGGGAGGATCTCATTATACATAACAACAATCATAATAGTGTAACAAAACAGAATACTCTATTCGATGTCCCTAGAAGCAAGGACATCATAATTACATAACAACGAATTTCGTGTCATAGAATATTCTATTCGACGTCCCTCTAAAGCTAAAGATTTTATATTTCACAATAACAATCAAATGGAATACTTGTAGTATATTCTAATTGACGTCCCTCGAAGCAAAGACGTCATATTGCATAATAGCAATCATAAGGTGTTAGTATTTTCGCCACCTTTGGTCAGGATGCCATGGGTGTCGGAAGACGGAAGCAAAAATAGTCTGTCCATCACTAGTGGGTTTATCCAGCGGAAATCTTTCAAGGATTATAGGGTGCTTCGACCTAGCCGGCCGGGGAGCCAGGGGGGCTATTTTCATCCGGGTAGGTTTGAGACATTGCTTTATTGAAGATCAATCTGCTATAGTTATCACAAGGGAGTAAATGCTGAATGGGGTCGGTGAGGAAGGGGGGGGGGGGGCGCAAACCCCTTCTGGCATATCCACCTTCAGTTAAGTACAAACATAAATTAGTCCCGCGGCAGTACATTTAGATCCCAAAAGGCACCCCTAAAAAGAACAAAAACACTAATAACCTTTGGGGAGGGGTGGTATGTGTTTGATACAATAAAATTCATCATGAATTAAACTAAATTATTTAAAATCTAGTCAACTTGTGTGCGTGTGTGTGTTTTACCAAAATTGCAGGAGTTTTGGAATCTCCTGATTTGAAAATTTTGAATGTACACCCTTCTCGCTTTCTTGAAAGAGGTTTTTACTCTGCCTTAAAGGCAAACCCTTGCAAGACCCCCCTTCCCTAATAATATTCACCGCCACTCATCATGAATAGAGCCGATTAACTCAAAAGCTGAGAGCAGTGACAGAATAAATATTAATGCTGCATACCGCTTACAAAATCGTGATTACGTGTTTTCATATGTGTTTGCATTTTTTTCTATTTCCAGCTAGGTTTCGTTCCGATGGATCACGTGGCATGGCGTGATGAGTAAGATCTGGAGAAGACAAGTCCAAGGGTCATGACCATGGAGATGCCTCGAGATCTTCAAGAGATCTTCAAGAGAACAGCGAAGCAGACATCTTAATCCAGGCTTGTTTCCGATGCTCTCTAAATTAACCTCAACAAGCAGACCGCCTGGAAAGTTCAAACGTCATCCTTGCCCAACTAGTTTTCCAGATCCATTATTGTTCCTGGCGTTCCTCAAAATAAGCATAATATCCAATGAAGCTAAAGAGAAGTATCACCAATGTGACTGGAATAGCATGGTATTGTTGTATTTGATTACATGAATTACGTAAACACAGTAAAACAAATAAAATGAAAGATGGTATGCAATACCAAAGTAGAGGCTACGTAATATTTAGACCCTGTAGCCAGACTTTCTGATATGAACTAAATATAAATCATGCTAGTTATTAAGTTGACGGTTGGTTAGTTGGTTTGTTTGACCTGACTACTAAGAAAGCATGTGTATGCTTGTAAGCAGCCAGGGGACCAACGGCTTTAAGTCCTCTCAGAGGGACTTGGTAAAATAGGTTAATGTCTTACCAAAGGGCACTAGCTCATCGAATTGGTGTCGAACCCTGGACCTTCCGGTTTCGAGACCACTGCTCTACCACTGAGCCATCGCGCCTCACACGCTTCAATGGATCGCACCATTGCCCCCAATATTTTTGTCTCCATGCACCTCTAACTCTCTCTCTCTCTCTCTGCGAAACATGTCATGCGTCCATCTGAGACAGTCTGCATTCTACAAATACTCTTTGATCGCATCCTTACGCCTTTCAACATCATTTTATTCCATCCATCCCAGACACGTCACACTGGGATAGAATCGCATCCTCACCTTAATGGTGTTGCAGCATCCTGCCACACCCTTTTCATCTCCCTCTGAGGGGCATGTGTCCACATGAATTCTGGGAACCAGCTAAAGCCTCCAGTCCGGGCTATCCCTCTGATGAAGGTATACGAGAAATCCGTGTCACTGATGGAGTCGATAGCAGGGCTTACGACTCGAGTACTGAAGAGGGAGAAAAGGGAAGATACAACAAAGAAAATGAAGAAAATTATCCCTGAACTGAGTATAACTATTAATTATTGCTTTGAATTTTCACTAATTTCACTAAAGATTTTCATGTGACAGAGAGGCCTATCATCTTGGATTTTCGTAATAAAGTTGTAAAGAACTCTGGGCAGCTCAGTTTAACACGTTTCAAATCGTTTTTAAACTGGGAGTGTGAACAAATAAAAACATGTTCAAAGTTATCTCGATTTATTTCGAAACCTATCAAAATCCCGCGAGATTTATATACCAACCAAATACCAATCAATTTCCCGAATGATCTCTGAGTTGTGCAGACCTTTCCCAAATTGTTTCCCGAATTATCTACTTATTCAGTACTATCCCGGTTTGTTTCCAAACTTTTATCGGGATCTCGTAATTTGTTTCGTAACCGTTCGATTCGTTTATTAAAAGTTGTACAGGTCTATCTCGATTTCTTCCCCAACTCATTTCCACATTGTGCAAAGGTTTATAGTGATTTATTTCTCAGATTATATCCCGATCTATTACCATAGTGCCCTACAGGTTCTGCTGAGCTAACCCGATCTGTTTTCAGTGTGCTCTAAGAGTTCGACAAAGCTATCCCGACCTGCTTCCCAACTCGGAAGATTTCCATACTTTTTCATTTCTCTGTTTTATCAAACAAACCTGTTTCTATTGATGCAGTCCAAGAGCGGTTCCAGCCATCCCTCTGTACATTCACAATGCGAGTCGAGGAAGACAAGCACGGTAGCATTACGACTTGCTGCCGACACTCCTGCGAGTCGGGACCCTACGACTCCACTACGATGCGGCATGCGGAGCAACCGCGCAGGTACGGGAAGATGGGAGACGTAATCTTCGAGCCAGCCCCTATACCAATCTTCTGAAGAATAACGAAAATTGATGATGATTTAAAATCAGAGATGTGATGATGAAGGATTTGCTATCCTGATGTAGAAAGAGGGATTATACAATAATAGCAACGTCTCCCAAATGGCAGGTTGACTAGTAAAACGGCGTACATTAGAGTAAAATAAACGTAGTCAGGTATAAATGGTTTTGTGCAAAACCCAATTTTAACCCTAACCCTAACCATTTACCTGACGATATAAAGTCCGGAACAATTCTCCCATGAAAAAATGTCGGGTCAACGAATCGGACAAATTATTCGTCGAAGCCAGGTACAAAAGTTCTTAACATATTTTTTTTTAAAGAAGGAAATATCTAAACGTCCGAGTATGACACGACCTCACAGAAATTGCCATGAGGTCTCTTTAAGAAACATGCAACGGGTCATTATAATTATCCTTGTCAAGGGTCATTTTATATATGAAAGGTTGTGTCCGGAGTGCCCTGGTCATTTGTAAAGTAGCCGGAAGGTCAGACATGTCAAGTGCTATTGAAATCAATCTGACCAGTACTTGCAGTAGTCTGGTACTACTCGGACACATGCTTGTAATTTCCTTTCAATATGGGAAAGTTACTGCAATTTCAGTACATCTTATTAACCATGTGCATGGCGATAACATAATTAAGGAAGTTAACGGAAAAGTCTGACCAAGAAAACATTTCCTTGATAAGACCCAGTTCCTTAAGCGGTTTCAGATCAAATGCAAAGAGACGGGTAAAATAATGAGTATGGTCAATATATTGAAGATTTTGATTTAACCGGCTGGGAAGCAAATTCCGAAGGGACCGATACAGTTTGATCATCGAAATATTCCTCAAACTTTCATCGCTCTTTCGAAATAAGTTATAACCTTTCATAGAGATTTTAATGGCAAAAAGCCTTTGTGAATATTTACCAAATTCAGTGATAAGATTTCATTATTTCGCGGCATGAAACTTAAGGAATTTGGTTCACTTGCGTAAAGATTTTTCGCATGCTAAAATAAAATTCTGTTTTTAGAATAGTAGGATGAGCTTATATTGTCCAAGTAAGGGCAATATATGACTGTATAATATTGAAAACCAATTATAGTGATAGTGGTAGTGACCAGGCTTTCATTTACATAATATCAATTTGATTTACCTCATGGAACTCATTAATGTAACCTACAACATTTGCTATTTAGTATAAAGTCCTAAAAATTATCGGTCCTATACCTCCTTCTAGACTACTGGCATCGTCGACCAGCACGATCTCCTCCAGAAGGTGCCTCGGTGATCGTACGATGACGCTCCAGATCGTTCTAAGAAGCACGCTCTTAGCTTCGTTGTGGAAAACGATGATGACCGAAGCGCTGGGGAGGTCGTGGCGATATCTAAACATTCGGCACCTGCATTGTCGGGAAGGATGATGAAATGGTCGAAGAAATGATTAGAAAGAAAAGGGAGGTAGAAATAGAGTAGAAGCTAGAGTGTGGTCAAGGGGTGTGAAGTAGTAGGGTCAGGGGCTGATGGATTTAGAACCAGGGGACGCGGTGGGCTCGAGTCTGGAGCACCTTCACTGAGGGTCAAATAGAGTGGTCAAGTGTGGTCAATAGAGGTGACAAGATGGGGTCTGGGCGGTTAGGGTTTGGGATCGATGATTTGTGTATTGAGTGTGGGGCACGATACGTTTGAGTCAAGAAGCGAGAAGGGTTCGGGCAAGGGCGTGGTGTAGTGTGGTAAAGTCAGGGGATGCGATTAACTGGGGGTTGGAACACGATGGGTCGGAGATGGGCATTGGGGTGTGGTCAAAGGGGGTGTGGTCAAAGGGTGTTATCAGAGGGTGCACTAACACCCGGTATGGTGACCGCGCCTTTTCAGTTATTGCCCCCGCTCTCTGGAACAAACTGCCCGCCTTTATTCACTGCGCCCCCTCTGTATCTCAATTCAAATCTCTACTCAAAACATATCTTTTCAAATTGTAAATTGCAGTTGTGCGTCGGTCAATGGAGGTGCGCACCATATTTGTCTTTATTTAGTTGATTGCCACTGTTGTTTTTTTTTACCTTATCTATGTTACTTTTGTATTTTTGCTTTTTCTTCTAATTTAATTCTACGGGTTATAGTCTTCTCTTAATCAGAACACTGTGCGCTTAGAAACATCAGTATTAAGCGCCTAATAAATGTTATGTATTATTATTATTATTAGTCTTACCTTGGAGGACGATGATCTGGAAGCGTCCGATTCAATGCTATCTGGTCACTGGCAAAAACATTGAACTGATGCTTCTTGAATAACACATCCGCCGTCATCTTATCCTCAGGTGCAATCACCACACCCTTTCCATTTTCTCCTAGCCCATCGTCCCTCCAGACATAACCCGGATCCTCAAATGGTAGAGTCCTTTTGTAAAATGTTTCCCGATTAACTCCTGAGAAATCATTTCTGTTTTTAGAGATGTCGTGCTCATCGTTGAAAAGCGCCGATATTGCTCTGGTTCTATTGACTTGTACAAACACCTGATGCGTTTCATCTTTAGGCTCGCCTAGAATTAAATTCAGAAATGTAATTTAAAAATACATGTAGGCCTATCTTTATAAGACAAGTATGATTAATCACTGATAAGTTGCATTGGGATAATACATTTTGAAAGAGTATCCGTTACATTTATGAACGGAAAATGAAAGGTTTCGGTGTACTGAAATAGATTGGAATCCTCTATTTATTTTAAGAAGGGTTAAACATCTTTTTCACGTTCTTTTTTCGTTTTACACTACAACCACTCTCCCGTTACAAGAAGAAAAAAATCAAGCATACAAATTCAATGATTCTCCTTTTACGTTAATAAAGTTTTGTTGGAAGACAGAATGGCGTTATTTAAAATACTTTAACTAAGACGTAACGCCTTCCTGGCCCAGAACTAAAGGTCTTATACCGAAGATTGAGAAATAAAAATATTCTATGGAGGAAGAAAAATCAAGACAAATCTATAGTACACGTAAAATCTGAATCAACAAATGTGTTACCTACTGTCTAACCTTTATTCCCACCGCTTACATTTGTAAAATGCAGATATGTCTTCCAAGTCCCTGGTTCAGGGTAGATATTATACAGACTGTGAACTATACATCCGATGCGAATAAATAGGCTACAATCGTAATTCCGTTTCGTTTGCGATTATGCCCTACTAACCAAAATCTAACCATGAACTGTCGCAAGTTCAGAACTAATTTTTGTAATTTGTATTGTATAAGCTTTATAATTGTATTTGATTGAAATGAGATATGAAAGTGTGGGCAGTATATGATATCAATTACAGGAAGTAAAGGGAAATTAAGTTTTAAAAAACAGTCTCCAAAAGTAGTAGCATAGATGGAGAGATAGAGAGGGAGAAAGAGAGAGAGAGAGAGAGAGAGAGAGAGAACAAAAGAGAAAGAGAGAGAAAGAAAGAGATTATGTCTCAGTCTTTTTAACATGAATGACATTTGGTAATGTAAATGTAGTTGCCTGAGTTAGTCTAAACCTTTATATTCTTGAACAAAGGGTAATTGATTACCTTGGCACTCTATGAAGTTCAAAAAGACATCAAGTTTAAAGGATGATAGGTTGAAAAATGCATCTCTTAAAAGTGTTTAAAGTGGCAAACTTCTTATATATACAGGTATCTAGAGAACATTTAATAGCTTTGAAAACGAGCACGATTGTATTTCTTGAAGGAGCACAGTTCGTTCTCATTAAATTTAGGGCACCTTGTCCCCCCCCCCCCCGGCTACACTGCCTTTCACAGAAAGGGGCATTTCTCATACCTTTAAAATGGCATTCATCACAGATGAAAGGGGCAATTCTTAGAAAGGAAAAATGCACTTATTAAATGGGAAAAAGGCACTTGTAAAGGTAAGAGGGGCACCTATCAGATATGGATTAGGGCACTTGTCAAGGGTATAAAAGGGGCATTATTAAGTAATGGGAAAGAGGGTACTTATTCGAAAGGAAAAGGGGCACGTGTCAAAGTAATATGCCAATATTGACATGATTAATACCGGACTTTATTCAAAGAATTATCGTTTTGTGCATTTTGGGGCAGGATAAATGACAAAACTTGCAACGGGCTAATATCCTTTAATGCAATACCGGTGACGGCGCAGTGACAGCTCTTTGTACTAGTTTCAAATCATTTTATGAAAAGAGATAAAGATTCTATTTAAACAAGGGCTATAATACCATGGTGTAGGCCTACTTTGACGGGGAGGTATCGGGTAGAGTTCCCACGAAGTCTGGATACAGAGTAAAGTGGAACCCCGTAGACAAGGTCAATGTCATGGATGTGTGTACGGTCAATACACGCTACGCTTCATCAGCATTAAACTCGTATGATGTCTGAAGGGAAAATTGCCATTCGGACTAATACTAATTCGGCTAATCCCATCATGTTTAGCGTCCCCGCCCGCTTCCTTTTTTGGGGCCGCCTGCTTTCTTTTTTTATCAATATATTTTTTTAAATAATTTTTTTCATAATGAAAAAACATGAAAAACATACTGCTAAAATGAGTTGAAAAAGTTGAGAAAAAGAAAATCTAGCGGCCTTCTTGAAAATTAGCCCGACAGTCAGGGAAAATGTACCCAGCGGCCATTTTGAAAAAAAGAAGAAAAAAGGCCTCCTCCTTCCTTATTCTTCAAAAAGGCAGGACGCTAAACGCGTTTTTTTTTTGCCTCAGTCTAATATCACTTCGTCTATCACCATTTTAACGAGGTATAAATATCATTTCGCCTTCTTTCACTTTGTCCATTTGTCAATTTGTACACTACAATCCTAGAAGTGTTGTCGAGTTCAGTTGGTCTATGCCACGCCTCATCAACATTACCTTGAAATGGATTTTTGCTCAAACTTTCACTGACCTGTTTCTCTTACTTTTCTGCTTCTATTGAAACCAACTTAATATCAATGTGAACTTCCCCTTTGAATGTCCAAAATTAATATCAAAATTTGATGATGGCTCAAAGAAAATAATTAAATGTTGCTTTGTCAACTGTAATATTACAGATTGCAGGAAATGTTAAAATGTGAGCTAATCATCTTGGAAAGTCTAGAAATTGAATCTATGAGTATGAGGAAAGAAAATAGTAAATAAATTGTACAATGGTTCATGCACGACGTATGGAGGTAGGTTCAAACGTCGTTACCTTTACATTGAACTAAATGAGGGTGTGGTGTAGTTTGATAAAATCGTTTTTGACCTCTGGTGTCATTGAAACAAAAGCCCCGCTGAAAAGGGGCATCCTGCCTCATATCGATACCCTCCCATGCGGGGGACAAGATATTCTACCCGATTATATTTCGAAGCAATTCTCATTTTCCTCACTTTTAACGCTAACAAGATCTGTCATTGTGTCGCATATGAGTACCACTCTAGAGGGTTGTACTTGTTTACTTCAATAACGTCTCAAGATATTGTGTGTACTGTGTAGTCAAATGAAAGTGACAGGGAGAAGCAAATATTATACATCGAAGGAGAGGAGGGGTGAAAGAGGGAGAGGGATCTAGGGGAGATGATAGGGCGGAGGTGATTGGAGATAGAGATGGGAGGGGTGAAAATGAGAGGCAGAGAGATATGGCGGAAAGGGCAGTAGGGAAGAGGAAGGGGAATGCCCGAAAGTGACAACGGGAGAGTGGGGGATGAAGAGGGGAAGAGAGGGAGGGATGGAGGGAGGGAGAACGAGAGAGGGAGAGAGAGACAGACAGAGACAGAGACGGAGACAGAGAGAGACAGAGAGAGACATAGAGAGAGAAAGAAAGAGAGAAAAGGGGGGGGGGGGAGAGGGGAGACCTAAAGTGGCGAGCCGACCGACCCCTCCAATGTTTGAAGGCCCATAAAAAGCAATACAACTTGCAGGGAATTATCGCAGGCGGGATTGCCCAGAAGCATTCAAGCCCCCGCCCTCAATCAGTGAGGATCCCCCTCCTCCCTGAGCTGTATGCACTGCCGGTCAATTCCTTGATAAGCCAATGTTCCATAAATCAAAAATAAAAGGAAATTAGGAATTATCCCCAATAAGCAATATTTGAAAGCCTTCTTCCGCAATATGAATCCATGAATGGAAACGGTATCAAACATCAACTTCAACGTTCAATTTTGCAAAAAAAATACAGCCCATTAACTTTAGAATTGAATGAAATACACAGCATAGACATATTAAAAATCGGGGGAGATTCGATCAGTTTTGAACTGTTCCATTGGGAGGTCACGACCGGATTGCGACGAGTGATGACTTTGGTAATTGTCTGTCAGTAGCCGTACGTGTTTTTATATAAAACAAACAAGTGACATTTCACCCCTTGTGGACCCGAAAGCTGATTGGCAGGGGACGAGGAAAGGTGAAGTTTAATAGTTTAGGGGGTGTTTCATAAAAATCCCAAGTCGAACATTAACTCTAAGTTGGACTTAAATATAATGGAGAGTCATTTGTAGCCTTAAAATAAAATATATTCAACCGCGAAAATTCAAGTAATTTAGACTTTTTATAAATTCCACATCAAGAACATGAAATCTCCTTGATAATAAAAAATATGAATGATTCGAATCAACATTTTATGCTTTTATAAAATAACGTTCCCAAAATATTTTCAAAGATGTTGATGGCTTTCCATAATTGTTAAGTCCAACTTTAAATAGAGATAAGTTCAACTTAGGATCTTTGTGAAACACAGATCGTGAACATACGTTTTGGGCTCCGTGATTGAACATGGTTTAATACTGGGTGGGTTTGATAATATTTTACGTTTGTAGTTTGGAACTTTGTATGTTGTAGCAAAGGCAAATAAAGTCTTCTCTTAATCGCTGCAGCCCCTAGCCCCCCCCTTCCAGATTCGCCAGTGATTAGCGTTATAGCATAATATGCAAGCTGTACGTATTCCTGGAATAAATCCAAGGTTCGGTCGAGTCAGATCAGTTAAAAATAATTTGATCAAGAAGACTGAGTACACTATTGCATCATGAAAACACTATATGAAGATTTTCTTCCCGAAATGTAAATAGACATGAGATAGACCGAGACAACCTATCCTCATCAGCTCGAGTTTGCAAATAGTGACAATGATTAGTGTCTCCATACTGCCATAATTATTCTCATCTATCTATCAGGATTATTGTCTGGAATGTTACAATGGCGATGTGTAAGCACTGATTATCATTGATCCGAGGGCGGCGGGGCGGGGGAGAGGTGTCTCCTCTTTTTTTTAGATTGTATGCGTAACTTTATCGTTTATCATAAACATTTCATGTTAACTCTTATACAAAAAGATTATTGTCAAAATACTCGCTCGCTCTCAAAATCAAAAACTTTGGAAGTTGATATTCGGGCAAGCGACAACACCTATACCCTCCAGTAAAATTGTATCCGTAAGCCTTAGGATAATCCCAAGCATTATTTCATATGTATTCATACAATGTAGTTTGCATCGAGTTACACATTTCTTTCTTGTTATACTGATCGACATGTAGTCGTTTTTCTTACAATATTCAACTATTTCCCCCATACATTATAAGCCACAACGATTCAACTACCAGCACCATTTGTCATATAAAATTGTGAGAAGTGAAAAGCTTTTTAACGAGCCTGTACGGCTGTACCCTTTTCTTCCAAAACTGCCTGCCAAAATAATGTTTATGAAGTAAATCCCACCGATCAAATGATTTATATCATTTCGTTATCTCGATCTAGGTCATGAAAAATACCTGCCAGAATCAATTGTATCCGACACTCAGGTCGGGGTGCAAAATATTTGTATGTTTGCATGTGATGTGTGTCTCCATGGGGGCGGGGATTGCCCTTTAGAGCGTTGGCACATGAACTATAAATGCCTGACCGAATAAAAATCATGATTTTGAAAAAAATTGGAGATTTTCTCTCTAGTCTTTATCCAGACGGAATGCATATAATGAATTTATAGTGGCCTTTTTTCCTGTAAAAGCGAGCTATCGTGTTCGAATACAGATGAGATGAAATAGAATTATTAAGGCTTAAAACGCCACAACCGCCAGATTCTAACTAGTGTAGCACTAGCAAACTACATTTTAAAACAATTGGGAATCTTTTCAAGCGTCTGTACTAGTGTTGAAATCAAAGAAAAACTATTTGAATACAAATTACAAAAGGGGCTAATTTATCTTTTACTACAATAAAATATGTGCTGTGCTTTAGAAAAAGTCAAGGAGCACTCATCCCTGTCCACTCTTGTTGCCAGACAAATTTAATAGTTTACATTAAGATTAGGACGGTGATAAATTGGTGGACGTAAAGGGAACAAGGTCGATCTATGAATAACATGACTGCCTTGAATATTTGGAATGATGATTCTGCATACATTGCATAGCTAGATTGATTTGATCAGGGAGGTGAGACATGTATCACCTCCCTGGTTTGATTAAAGCTTTGGTATACCCGTCGCGCATGAGCCGTCATTTCGATTGCGTTTTTGCTTGCGCTAATCAAACATATGAAGGGAATTGGTAACTTATGTAACGTCAGTAATTTAAAGTGAATTGAGTATCACCACGGAATACGTTTCACTTTACCTTTTGCATCTAGTTCGTGTACGATATCCGTAATCACCCTTACATGATACGTCAAAGACTGCGCCAGTTCCTGACGCAGTCCTACGTCAGAGAAATGACGCATCGTGTGTCAAGGACATTATAGCTCTAGCTCGATTCTTAGTGCAGTTTTTAAAATTCAAATTCTGGAACACCCCTCCGTGACCGAGACCAGTGTAATTACTCTAAAACGAAGGGAAGGTTTGCGGGGGTAAGGGCATCGACTAGCTTCACCCTTTGATGGATACGCCACTGGGGTGCCCCCCCCCCCCCCCCACCGACTGTCCGAATGCACTCCACCCCACACATCCGAACAACCTAGGCTACATTTGCGAATCCTCCTATGGAGTTTATAGGCAAGCGAAGGTGTGAAATGTCGGCTACGCCCACACGAATACTGGCATCATTGATTGAATCAAGAGAGTCAGTATGGTTCCAATTTTCATCTCGTTACGCTCCATTATAGCTTATCAGATTAACCTTTCCACTCCTAATTCGATTTTGCTGGACGTTCCAGTCTTCGATAAGAAACTTCGCACTCTTTAAATTAAACATAAAGCCTTCTCGTCGCTAAAAAGTTAAAATGAAAGTAACAATACAGGGCGTATTGTGTTTCAAGATGTTTCCCCCTTCTCTATAACTTGTTCAAGAATTAAAAGCAAATTGATTGTGAATTTCAGAAATACCACCAAAATCTTTTTTCTTTCTTTCTTTTACCGAGGAAAATTCAACTTCTGACCTGGGTGAACAAAACCTTAAGGAAACTCTTTGTCTAAATATGTGCAGCCAGTCATACGCCTGCACAGGGAGAATACATGAATATTTTCCATTTTTAAAGTGTACCTAAATTGTGAAATAAAATCTTAGCAATATAATATTTGTTTTCTCCCGAATTTGAAGAAATTCCCATGGATAATTACGAAACGCTTTTTTGATAGTGCTAGTTAAGATCTTTACAAAAGAATAAACTAAATCGACACGCATTTTGCACTCTGTCATGCAATGAATATAACAAATTCACATAAGTTTATCAAGGCTCCAGCAATAAATCTTTCTAATGATTCTCGATACAAATTGTTCTATTTTCGTTTCAAGGGTTTTTGTTCCCGAGCGTATAACCATACGATGATTTACTGCTATCTGAAATACGAAATGTTGCGAATGGTGTTCTAATGTATACCAAGTTCATTTGTAACTGTGTTTCTAAGTGATTACATCATTCTAAATGAAACTCCTCCCATTTCTGTCCCGTTGCTCCCCCTTTCCTTCTTATTGTAATGCCGACAAAATGAATTTCCAAATGGACCAATAAAATGAAATAAATCTGAATCTGAATGAATCTGAATCTGAATGAAGCTTAGGTTATTGAAGGTTTCCGAAAAAATCATCGAAGGCTAAACAAATCAAATAGATAAACACAAAAGACAGGGATTTCAAAGTTACGTGACGCACACAAGGTAAAATACAAGGGAATATAAGCAAACAAAAGAAAAAAACAAGTTTAATGAAATATCACGTACCTTTTTGTTGCTGCAGTCTTGTCTTTCTTTTATGATTTCGAAACCTTTCGAATTCTTTTTTCAGTTTATTCCCTGGCGATCGCCTATTATAATTCCCTTCCACTTCTGTTTCTTGACCATTGGTGATTACAGCTGGAATATCAAAACTAGCACGCGAGTTCTCCAACTTCCAATCAAATCGCGCAGACCCAACATCCTGATTTATTCCATTATTAAATTTCCCAGGCCTCTGCTGTCCAAAATTTGGCGGGAACTGATCGGCCTCACTTTCCGACGACAGTTTTCTATGGGCGCCATTTTGTCCTGTCGACTTCGCGACGGGGCTCGAATCCAGAGCCTGAATAGACGAGTAGTCAATGACGTCGGCTTTCCTTTTCAATGCCCCCTGGATGGCGACATCATCTCGACGTTGGTACGGTGGTCGTGGTAACCAGACGAGCTGGACGAGGCAGAAAGAAAGCGTTACGATGAACCCGGTCTTGAATGCAAAACGCACCTTGTGCATACGCCAATGTCCACCGCTCCAAGTCATCGTAATTAAATATTTTGCTCAGAATCAGAGCAATTTCTTCAGAACTTTAGAACACGAAAGTTGAAGATTTTGTTTAATGTTTCGCTTCAGAGCCAGAGTCACATGTATACTTCTGCTGACTTACATAAATTGAATCAAAACGTCTACCCCAGACGAACCGTTTGTAACATGTAGTGTTGCACTTAGCTAATAGGGCAAATCATCTCCTCTTTAAAGTTTTAAACGAAGACAATGAAAGCCGAACATCTGAACAGTTGTACTTTCTTGGCTTCGGTGCTCAGACGAAATTAATGAGCGTATTAAATCCCAAGGACCGACTTAAATCGAACAGTTAACTTATTTTCAGAGGAAGTATACATTTAATGATAATCAACGGAAGACTGAAGTAAGATGGACGAAGATACGAGAATCATGAAAGTATTGTTATCGTGTTCCAATTGATGATTCGAATAGCTCACTTTTTAATCTCGCTCAACTCGCTGCTCCATCTTCCTCGGTAGTGTGTGTGCGATTTGGTATCTAGAGGTAGAACAAGAGCTAGAATGCTATGGAAATTCACGGGTTCCTTATAGAACCATGCAGCACATCTCAGCTAATATAACACTCGTTGTCAATTTCCATTCTACGCACACAAAAGGATTTTTCACAGCCACAAAATAATGTAGGCCTCCGCTCTGTGCTCAAAAACCTAACTGAGAGAAATAAAGTGTAGATGTTAATTTTACTAGAAGTAGAACCAAGAAGTTTTCCTCTGTACTGGTGTGCGATGGCAGGCTAATGTGAAAGTGCACGTGTGGTGATGCTGTTCAAAAACGAAGTCATTGACAACCGCTAGGGGTAATTTGTTCAACTTTCCATGGACCTTAAACTCGTATGTTTAGGTCTCATTAGTCGCTCCATTGAAATGAATGTTGAAACTTGTAACCACTACAGTAGACAACAGTGAGCTTCTCGAACTTCCGTGACTTTGCCTGGCTTCATACCACACCACTAATAATTAATCGGCTTTCAGCGGCTGCAGCGGTGTGCTTGTTGGTTTTGCCGCCTGCCCTATAAGGCCGTTGTCTGTCAACGCAGCGCGTCTTTCTCCGTGGACCACGCTCGTGGATTTCCCTGTGCCAAACCAAACATTACCTTCTCTAACAATAAACAATCGCGATTGCCTATCCTCTTCCTCCTTCAACCTCTAATGCAAACACTGGAATAGTAAACTGTTCGCAGAGCTGATATTTGTATTTCCATTTTCTCCTCAGCTCAGTCGACCTTCCTCTCCCTCTCACCTGTATTGCTCTCGATCCGTCACTGTGTTTACCTGCAAGGTAGACAAAACATAGACAAATACAGTCACATGACCTGCCTGACAATGTCCCCAGCGCTAATGGCTTCACAAGAAAGTGCCACTAAATGAGAAGGAAATGTCTATTACCTGTCTGTGCGACGTCGGATGCAGGCCGTTGGTATAACGTTAAGTAAAGGAACATAACTAATTTCTCCCCTACCGGTGTAAGGTGCTATTAACATAATAAAGTGGCAAGTCTCTAGACAGATCAAGGTTGGTGTTCATTCGGTTAAAGGTAAAGACCAGTATTGGCAACGCCCCAATTTCAAAAAATGAAATGGAAGCTCTCATTACCAATCATGTGAAAGAATATGTTTTGACTAATACATGATGATAAAAAATTTGCCGGGAAACTGCCTACTAATTCATATATTTGGTAAATTTATCTCTCTCATGGTCTGGTGAGAGAGATAGGGTAGTCCCATATACATCTTTCTGTGTATAGTGCTTGTAACTTTACGAAGAATGGGCCAAATTTCTTATCATTTTGATGATTCCAGAACCTTGCAGATGCTAGATGCTAGATGATCAACCTTTTCTGATCGATTCCACAACGTTTCTTTCACAATGCAATCGCATGACCATTACTGGTCTTTACCTTTAACACCAAAGTCCACACCAGAGCTACATGTATAATCATAACAAAAGATACAGTTCTCTGGTCACAACACCTGAAACCGAGGGAGGTTCCGTGGTGGAACTATCAGACAGAAAAGCAAAATGAGTGGGAGCGACCAATAATGTTCCCACAAACAAACGAACTCGAGAAGTAATCTGTTTACACTTTTAAACTTTCACCGGTTTAAAAGTTTCTTGTTATACATAATAAAAATACTCCGCTGTTATATAGCGCTTAATACATCTACGATATCTCTAAGCGCTTTACAGATTTACTATAACCCCGGTCATTGGATTCAATACTTGCCCGCACACACTGTGTGCACATTCTCCACTCCCTGGGGAGCATTCAGCCAGGCGTTACTTGACGCAACATATCAAGTAATATATCAAGTAAAATCACTAAAATCTTACATTAATTTCTTTCGGAGAGGAGTAAGGGGGGAGGAAGGGGGTGTTAATATCGAAATATGAGGGGCCTGTCAATTATTGGTGTTCCTGTATAATTATGTGATGCATAACGTCTTCATGGTCATGCTGAGACTAGTTTACAATCAAGGGAGAGCAAAAAGGACTTTGGTGTATATTAGTTGAATGCCCTTCTGGCTCTCAACCAGACTTTTACTAATTTACAATTAAAAAAATGATTATCATAAGGTGCAGTAACTCTGATAGGATGATGAATCAGTTATTAGTTATAAGCTAGGGGGTGCGTTTTGTTCTGACCGAGGAGGTGTAATAACTCCTTGTTCCGACTCTTTTGAGGAAATACTACACCAAACGTGTCGTATCTGTCACGTTCATAGTAGTTCGTCTTTATTACGTAATAAATACAAGGTCCTTTTACTGTCTTCCGTTGATGATTGGTCAAAACAAAACTATTTGTATTACCAATACTTGTAATGTGAGCAAGGTTGTAGAGTCTTGAAACAGATAATTACTGAAACCTGGAGGCAAGTTAAATGATTCATGCAATCACAAAGTAGGAAGCAGACAGGGTTATCTCCTATCGCAGAAACATAGCAATTTGGGGCACTTTTCGCTGACAAATTAACAAACAGATCACATAAAATAATTTCATGAAATAGTGATGAAATAATAGAACATCCATTACTCTACCATTGAGCCGATGAGAAATCATACCTTCCCTAAACAATATTGTCTTCTTTGTTGAATGTGTATACTCAACAAACCTTGTTTCTGTTCGTGTTCTATTTCGGGGGGGGGGGGGGGTAGCATTACAACCGGCATGTTGGGTCCTCCTATTCTCCCGGCTCCATCTATTGGCTTAATTACCATGGTAACAGCACACTCGGTGCATGGTATATCTCAATAATCGCTATGGAATATCAAAGAGGATTACAGAGGGTCACGGGTCGAAAGTTTAGGGCAGCTTCTGAAATGTGAAAAATAGTTCAGGACAAATTATGTAGGCTCTTCTGAAGAAAGAGAAATGGTCGGAATAATACTATATAGAATGGATGACGATATAGGAATTAGGATAGTTTTATAATTCTTTTCAAACCATTAGGAGTTCAAGATAAATTTATTATACCCGTTAAATTATGAATCAACGAATAACCAATACTTTCTCTCTCCATCTCTCTCTCTCTCTCTCTCTCTCTCTCTCTCTCTCTCTCTCTCTCTCTCTCTCTCTCAGTAATTATCAGTCTTACCTTTAGTAGGTCCATGCTTTATGCGTGCATCGATACCCAAATACCCCCCCCCCCCCCCCATTTCATTCTCTTTTTGTCTATACCACGACCATGACCTGAACGTACATGTATTGTATTGTAAAGGCTTTTTTATCCAATGACCTACCAACCTCCTCGTCATATTCATCCCTCCCCTCCCCCAATCTCCCCCTATTCCCCGTCGAATCAAGAGTAGCGGGGGCGGATCCCCATTTCGTAAAGGGGGAGGGGTCACAATCATGACAAATATCGGACAAGTGACAGGCAAGAGAGAGAGAGAGGGGTGAAGCAGAGGACCTACAAAGAAGAAGAAGAAGAAGAAGAAGAAGGGAAAAAGGGTTTTAAAAGTTTACTTGCGTTCATACTTTTAGGGGATGCCAGATTGGGTTAAAAAGGGCAATGTGCCGATTGTGCGCCCCCACCCCTCCGATAAATCCCATACTGTCGAATAGCCATGACAACGACAGGCCATAAACCTTTCACTCACCCATAATTTGACTGCTCGTTATAAACCCTGTGATGTATCATATATCGTTTTAGAGGTCGTAGATTCATATTACAAGGTCGTTAACAAAACCCTCGAGGGGCGGATGAGAATGCTACCGAAAAATTCAAGTATACGGCGGGGAGGGGAGGTCCGGATTTTTATAGAGTAGAGCGATTGTCCAATTGTGTTCCTACAGGCAGAGGTTCATCGGCATCTCCTCCTACCTCCTTGGTCTTTCAACAACGAAAGATCGCACCTCTTGTACCACACTCCCCATTCTCACCTTCCTTCTCACTCCTTCTCCCCACTCTCCTCCTCCTCCCCCTCCCTTCTAATGTTCCTTCTCATCCACATTATCCTTTGATTTGCCAAACACGCCCCCCCCCCCCTCAAAGAGAAAAAGATACCCTGTTTCCTGCTTATCAGAGATTTTTAGAACTGTGCCGGCCCCCTTTAATTTTAATATATCCGGTACCTCTACAAAAAATGTACCGCTTTTCATTACTCCTACATGTATGTCTCCTTATGAAGAAGGCAGTCGTTCGGGAAAATCGCTTCAAATTGTCTTCATTTGCACTGCTGATAAAACATGTCTGCATCTCCTCGCTATCAATACCTAAGCGAATGTCTCCTGTCGTTTAGCATATCTCATCATTATTCAACCATTCCAAATCGTCTCCTTTTGCAATGAAGATAATACATGCCGACGACTCATTCAGTCATTCAGCAAATCCACCTCTTTGTAATGTTGTCTCTCAGGAATTTGGTAACTTTGTCTTAGATCCTTTAGAAATAATCCTTGATTTTGCTCATGCTGCAATGATAATTATAAACCTTTAGGTCAGTCAGGAAACTCCATGACTTTTACAAGCCGATCACCTGTCTGATTATCAAGATTGGAATTATAAATTTTGAAAACCGTTCACCGAACGGTTTTCATAACTCTAAAGTCTATTAGGGAAAACGAGTATGGTAAAACCGGTCACTCAAAGATTTTTACTTTTTTGAGGCACTACTTGATCATTTTGAAGCGCGATTTTTTTTTAAGGGCTTCAATATTACACCATATCACAGATACTGGTGACATGTAGGACCGTGTATCTCAGATTTAACATTGTTAAACGATCCCTTTAATGTATCTTTGCGCTTCAGTAAGTTGAGTATGTGTATGTTCGCTTCACTTCCATCCACATGAGTACACTGATCTACATCCCTGATCTTCAACGACTTATCTCAAAATTGCTGGGTTTGAATTGAGAAAACACGATACAAATTAACTTTGTCGGGGGAGATCAATCCATAATGGCAACATAATTATCTGGGGGTTACATTTTCAAAAATAGAATGGAAATAAATTGGTTTGCAGAGATCAAGCCATTAAGGTGACAAACTTATCTGGGTGTTGCGTTTGGTGAAACACAATTTAATGTATTTTTAAACGAAGGATAAGTGGAGGTATTTAGAAATCTTTATGAAAAGATTTAGAAGGACGAAATACTTAAAACGGTTCCTTTGTCATTCATGTGTGGAAACGTTTCAATTTGGGAGTGACAGGTCATTGTAGGTCTCAACTAAACAGGCACTTCTAGATTCGTATATAATAGCCCTACTTAAATGTAATCCCGAAGCTTCGATTAAGCTAGGGAATAGGTCAGTGTTAACAAAGAAATTTCATTAGACCGAAGTGTGGTGTCACGCAGCCAAACATCGGCTACTTGTGACTTCGATTTGATATATATATATATTATGTAAAACATGAAAAATAAAG